CTCAGCGCCGCCGAAGAGGCCCTCCTCTTCGGGCCCAACCGCATCCCCATTTCAGCCGAGATGTCGGGAACAGAGTCCCAGGAGGATCAACGCTTGGAGCGCGAGCGACTCCTGTATAAGGACCAGCTCTGGTACAATGCTAAAGAGGCTCGTGTCACTGCAAAGAATAAGGCGAAGTATCAGGCTAAGTTTCAGGAGAAGATGCAGACTCAGGCTCGGACCCAGGCTCGGGTGACTGCGAATAACGATAGCTATGGTGATGGTGGTGATGATGATAGTGATGATGTTGTAGAGCTGGCTGCGCAGTGCCATGTGTGCAAGCTGCGCTTCCCGCGTCACGATCCAGACTTGACGGGGCACATGTGGGAGGAGCACCGGATGTTCCCGACGTCGGCAGTGCAGCAGGGGCTCTTGAGTAAGACTTTTGCGGAAGCGGCTGAGAAGATGGATGCTGCGCAGGCGCTGCTGCAGTTGAGAAATTCGTCGAAGTAAATGATGCATTCATTGACTGATGACTGTGTTGCATTTGGGGGATTTGGAGTAGAGGAGTAGTTGAATCAATGGAAGATAATTAGACTGAACTTTTGAGTAAATGATGATAAGGGAACGTGAAAAATGTGATATTGTGAATGCGTAAAGAATAAACGCCAAGTTGGGACTGATAAGCAGTGGTGAAAGTAAACATCGAGCAAGTCCCGGAATGCCCACGGCTATTTGCATTAGGCAAATCAACCCCACGCAATCCCACGGGAAAGAACATCACATTGTAAGAGCCAAGCTTTTTTTATTGCATGAGAACCCGAATGTAGCATTGTTCTGAGAACTTGCATGAAGGACTATAAACATACAAGAACAATGAATAGTAGGTAGACTTTTGTCCAAAATAAATACCTATTGTTCGCTTTCGTCTTGCTCTTTAATGAACTTTTGTCAAAACAGCAACTAGGTAGCTCTAAACGTGAGTGAAAAATAACACCGATAGCAGTGAAGCAAGCTGCACCGCGTATTATATGACTATCCAAGACTTCCCCCTAAGTTGGTAAATACAACATTCATTCACCTTAAACTTGAACCTTCAATACCCTTCATTCGATATATATTCAACAGTCACTCTGAGTAACTAGAATCAACATCAATCATGAAGGCCCCAAGAAAGACATTTACAAAACAGACCAGCCAAAGCAAAGGAAAAGGTAAACTTGTAGAAAAGCTTAGGGTGGAGATAGACGAGGTTTTAGATACCGTTTCGCTTGATGGGCATGAAGTCAAGACAATCCTCGCTAAATATCTCATTTGTCCGGTTTGCGAGGCTAGATTAAAGACCGGCGCTCTGTTCGAGGAACATGTTGAGAGTTTACACTCAGACGAGTATGTGGGTTACTCGGACCGAACGAGGAGCCGAGACGCACACAAACACCGCAAGCACAGGGTTGATATGGACCATCTTTTCGAGGCTATGTGGCTTGACGGTCACGAAGTTGAGACAATCGAGGACAAGTACTTGGTTTGTCCGATCTGTGCCGATGAAATCGAATTTGGTGCGGACTTTGACGAACATGTTTAAAGGGATCACGACCCGCCACCAGCAGACGGCATTGAGTCCTCGAATAAACCAAGGGACACCACGTATGTCAAATACATAGTGTTTCACGACGAGCAGTCCAAGGTCCTATACCTTGATGACGAGGAAGTTTCGATAATTGGCAACAACTTTAGCTGTAGGCTTTGTCGGCACGGATCGCGAACCGTAGAGACCTTCAAAAGACACATAGAACTTGTGCACAACTATGGCAAACCATACCAATGCGACCTCTGCAAATCTTCTTCTGGTAAGAACTACTCTCTCACACACCACCGCTCGAGGGTGCACACGAGGGGTCTCGAGCTCCCGTGCGATGAACCTGGTTGCGGCAAAACATTCCGCCACAAAGGAGACCTTCTGTTGCCACAAGTGCCCGCAGAAATACAAGTGGCCACAAAGTCTAAAGAAGCATCTGAAGGGACATCTTGATGAGAGATTCTTCTGCCGCGATTGCCCGGGATCGCTTTCACACCGAGTCAGAAAGGTTTTAATAAGCTGGGAAGAGAGAGGGTAGGGGAGGGAGGTGAGGAATTGACGTAAGTTATATGATATAAGACACGCTAGCCCCCAAGCGCAATGCTTAAAAGAGGAGCAGGAGCTTTGTGAAGATGTACGGAGTAGAGTTACCTAGGTATGCTAGCTAAAAATGCACTAGCGTAGATAAGTAGGTATACTGTAGTCGTAGTTGGAAAAAAGACATGGATATGTATATACCTAGGTGAGAGTGGTCGAATAGACAAGACGGACAGCTTCCTTGCACAAACTAAGCTTGCTTTAAAACCGTGAGATAGGTAGGTAGGTAGATACTTCACGTATCCATCGTAATATATTCATTATCTCACTCCTATGTAATATGCAAGTCCACGACTCCAGACCCAGATCCTCAAGAAACAAACAAAAGAAAATACGGTAAACTTAACACAGCAAAACGCCAACCAGCTACCTATATATGCTAGATCCCATCCCATCCCATCCCATCCCATACATGTGCATATCCCCTTGGAGATAAGATGTAAAATAGAAACGCCTGGAAATGCCGCTTGTTCGCTCTCGCAATGATATGCTTTCTTTCTTCCTTGATTTGCTCAAAGTATCTTCGCTTCGCTCCGCTCAATCTCAAAAACTCGTCTAGGCTGGTAGGTAGGTATGTACGGTATGTGTGCTTCACTTGGCTCACTTCATAGTACGCGCAATAAATTCCGTAATCCTGATTTCGGGTTTTCTTCCGCTTGCACGCTGCGCGGTACGTGGGCGCGTGCTCGGGGTGGTTGCTTGGAGTTGATGGGTTCTTGCTTGACCCATTCTTTTTGCTCGGGCATCCATTTGTGTCTGTGAGTGTTTTATTAGTATGGATCGTATGAATGTTGGGGAAGTTGGTTGTTTTGACAAAAGGGAAAGGACATACCCCTCGTGCATGGTTTTCGTTAAAGCTCTCGCCGAATACTCCTCGGTCAATATCCTGTCGAACGAGTACGGCACTAGAGCCGGGACGCCCTCGAATACTGTCTCGCGCAACGGGTATAAGTCTCGCGTCCTGTAGCGGTGGAAGTTCTTGCAGCTCCATATCCCCGGCTGCGTGCTTGGGTTTGTCTCCGAGAGGCCTGTGATATCGATAAACAAGCCATTGCTCACATCGATCCAGCGCGCATCAATGACATTCTGCCCGTCTCCCCGTATACGCTCGACATGGTTCGGGTTGATATCCAACAGGTATTCGCGGGTATCCGACGTCCCATCTTCGTTCAAGGAAGTGTAGTTGTGGAATGTCATGTTGAGGTTCTCGCCTAGCCAGGTGAGTGTCGAGGCCGAGACTTGCGTGTCGAGATCCCAGTCCCACGGCATGATCTTTCCGTTCCACCACCAGCCCAGCAGCGTTCCATGCGCGATCCACGTCTCGACATTCTTCTCCCGAAACACGGTCAGGTATGATCGTATGAGATGCAGCAGCGTATCGCCTCGCTCTTCGTACGTGACGGGGGTGCCCTTAAAGTATCGGATGTCGTAGTGGCCCAGTTCATCGTTGCCGCCGGGCTCGTGGAAGTATTTTGTGTCGCCGCCGAATTTTGCTCGTTCTTCGATGGCTTCGATGGCTTCGGCTGGAGGTTCTGGTGCTGCAAAGATGGGGAGTAGGAGGGAGCTGAGGGCGAAGAGGTGGGTGAACTTCATGGTGAATGATTGGCGGGCGGCGAGGCTGGCAATTCCGTGATGAGTAAGCTAGGTATTGATATCGCCTCCTTTACCGATACATAGAGCAAGTTTGGTCGGTATGTCTTTGCTTTGTACTAAATTGATTCTCGGGGTTCGATGACCTTTAAATCAAAGCAACACGACTCCTAATTGGGTTTCTCGTATACGAAGTGAGGGCTTCGACGGAGCGGGAGGAGGATGATCGTTTTGTTATGCTTGGTCCGTTAGACTGCTTGGCAGTAGGAGCCAATATGAAAGCACTTCTTGGCTTCTTGGCGTGCAGACAAGGAATTGATGTGAGTGAGAAATGAGTGAGATGAGATGAAATCTTATGCGACGAAATGCTTGGAAGATTGAATGATGAAAAATCACGACAAAGTCATCAGGAAAGCAGAAGTGTGTGAGAGGGTACAGTACGGTACAAAAGAATTAGTAGATGGGACTTACAGTAGCGGACATGACGGGACTTTTGTCTCTCCATGTACAGTACTTGGCCTACGTACGGAGATCAAGACGACGACTATATTACTATGGCTAGGGGCCCCTGATTGGTTTAGATGGTCGTCCGGATGTGGAAACTGGGCATGCGAGCGTTCAAAGTCTGGGTGGGGTTGGGAGGCGTCGTCGTCTGACAGGGAATACCAGTAGCATGGGGGATGAAAGGATGAAAAGAAAAGAAAAAGTCGTTCGTCGGTGAATGGTAAAAGCGGACCACCATTGCGTACTCGTATCTACTCTGCTCCGTACTGCAGGCTGCAGCCAGATTGGACAACGCGGCAAAGAACCACCCCATGTCATTATTATCAATGCAGGCTTTGATCGCCCTCTTGGCGGCTGTGGCTGATGGACGATACGGTAGGTTGGTACTTGGTAACGCTTGATGAATAGGACTGAACACAGACAGAGTAATACGAAGGATCGACTTGTACTCCGTATACGCGTGTTCATGAGTCGTAAATCGGTACTGTAGAGGAGATGATATCATTAGCGCTCCCGCATCCACAGAAGACTACCCTACAGTACCAACTGTTCAAGAAGAGGGAAAACTGCACGCGCGGCCCTGATTCGAATTACCTACTCCAGCCACTCCATAAAGAGGCCTTTCCGGTGCGGAAGGATCGTTCCTTGGTCACCTTCCAGAGTTTCCCAATACCTTCTCTCTCCGCTCTCCGTCTTTACTGAATTCGGAATTGAATATTTTCTGAAGCTGGTGATCAATTGATAGTTGCTGTGCGCCGCCAACCGTCTTGGCCGGAAACGCCAAGCCCACATCATCTCAAATGGCTTCAAGCTTATCTCTACTCCCCTTGGTAGTTCGTTTCACTTTCCAACCTTTTTAACCTTATCCATCCATCTTCTTACTGGTACAAGTATCCCCTGTTCAAGCCGTTGAAAAAGATAAGTACCTAGGCAAGGTGACGCGAGCTTTAGATGGCTCGTTGGTAACAAGCGCATTTGAGCCACAGCTGCCAAGCCGCCTCAAGCTGCACCTTAATCTCCGGCAGTCCGGCAGCAGCCAAGCAGGCAGACAGCTCGTGTGCTCACTGCTCACCACTTGGCGACTTCGGTTTGCTCCGGAGGAAGATCTTGGTTAAACGCAGTAGGGAGGAATGAACGAGGTTTGCAAAGATGAGGTGAGAAAATTGAAAGGCTTTCGTAGTCGCTCACTCGTACAGTCGTATTTTATACGAGTCTTCAAGTACCTACCTACTATATGTATAGCAAGTTTCGCATTTGATGACTGGACTATTAATATGGATCAAAGATATTAACATTACTGCCTACACAAGGAAGGTTCCATGAGTGGCTTCGACTTAATACCAAGCTCTCCATTCCATTCTCCTTTCCTATGCCCACCTACAGCAGCTTCCCATTTGGGGTTCTTAGCATCATCATACAGTACGGTATGTTATCACGCCTCGAACGCCCCACACTTCGATACAGTACACTGAATCTTATCGCAACCCCAGTTGATATCCTTCTGTCAAATAATTATCAGCTCAGCAGTACAGTACAGTACAGTACAGTACGAGTACCGAGTCACCTCTCAGTCTCTCACCTTCTTTCTCAATTACCTGCAACTTGGATCTAGCTTCCTACCCAGGACAATTATGCCATTATTTCGCACCACGGGCGATCTTCAACTAGATAAAACACTATACACGCGCGCATCGTTAAGAATAGGTATGTTTAGATATAATTAGAGGTATGGATTGCGTGTGCACCGCATGATGAAACGAGGCTCAGTCCAGCTTACGAAAAGGAGCTTTTCACGTAAAGTATATATATATCACGTGATAACAATTTTCGGATCGGATTTTTGATTTTGCGAACCGAGGCGAGCGCGAGGCGAGGAAGGCAGATCTGTTTGTATAATTCAATAATCCAATAATCTGCATGGACTTCTTCGTCCTCTTCTTCTTGTGCATGTGACTTGAAGACAAAGCCCAGATACCCAATGTCGTGATGAGAATTTACTGCTGAGAATAGATCCTTTGACTGTTCTACACTTTTCTCTCCTCGCATCTGGAGCTCGAGTTGCGGGCGGGGTAGCTGGCTGACCATACAAAATGGCATCAACGACACATGCAGAAGCCATAAAAGGCGTCGAGGCAATCTTTGAACGGTAAAACCCTTTTTTTTTTTATCTTCAAGCTTATATTCAATCAGTCTGAAATTGAATTTCTTCTCGTCCCTAAATCTCAACTTCTCTCTTCTTTCCTCCCACATTCTTCGCCCTACCCACTACCATACCATACCATACCATACCATACCATACCATACCATACCATACCATATCCCCCCTGACTCCAAACTACCCACGAACCCCAGAACCCCCTCATTACACTTCCACCCCCTCACTCCCAACCCTCCCCTCCTCATCACAGCATGCAAAACTAACAACCCCCCAGTTACCTCCTCATCGCCCACTCCCAGAACTTCACCGGCTTCGACCGCCATCTGATGTCAACCGTTGCCATTATCGACGCTGGCCCGGAGGGCTCCGTGACCTTTGATCTACTGATCGACGAGCGGTATAGCAATATAAACGGTGTGATGCATGGTGGGGCCGCGGGGGTCATTTTTGATATGTGTACTACGACTGCGCTGGGACCGCTTGCGAGGCCGGGGTTTTGGGAGTATGTTCTCTTTTGGTTTCTGCCACTTGATTTCACTCACTTTCAGTTTTAGTTTCGCTTTGTTGCTTATTTTGGTTCATTTTTTTATATATATTTTTTCCGTGTTCAAGAGTTTCTGTTACTGTTATTGTGTATTGTATATGGAGATTGTATGGAATTCGAACCAGAGAGAAGGAAACTGACGAGAGAATAGTTTTCTGGGCGGCGTGACACGATCGTTGAATATATCCTACCTGCGCGCTATCCCAATCGGTATATATATATACCCCCTCCCCTCCCCTTCCCTTCCCACTCCCACTCCCTCCTCATATTCCTCTTCCACTTCCTCTTCCACATCTCTTAATAACCCGCAATCTGCATCCAGGCACGACCGTCCGCATCACCAGCACCGTAATGCAGATCGGCCGCACGATGGCCTTGATACGAGGCACGATGAGTAGTCGGGACGGTAGCACGGTGTATTGTACGTGCGAACATCACAAGGTGGCGGTGCCGACGCGGAAGGAACATCTGGAGTATCGGGTGGCGTGGGATGGGTTGTGGGAGGGGAAGGGGAAGGGGAAGGGTGGTGAGGCGAAACTGTGAGGGAAAGGATAATGATGAAAGATGAATGAATGAATGAATAAATAAACGGACTTGCATGCATCTGCCATGCATGGCTTCAAGATGAGTGAGCACTTTTCTTTTAAATCTCACGTGATGCACCGGGAAGTTTCCCATATTTCCTTCTATGCTTAATTTGATTCATTTCGATATATCTATCCAGTATCCTCCTTATTCATTTTCCTAACACTTGCTATTTATTGCCATTACTCGTCCATTCCATTTCCCATAGAAGACGGGCTTCGATACAGGACCTGCCCTAGTCAATGCGTGGGACCTACAGTTCTTGATACCTAAATATAATTACGACTATATGCTTATACGCGTATAGCATATAAACCAAGCGTGCCGGTTACTTAAGAGCCCTGCCCTAGTCAATGCTTGGGAACCCTAGGCTATAGTATCACACCCACCTCTTCTCTTGCTGCTTTTCAAGTCCTCGATCGCCATGTTAGTGTTCGAGCACGGTCACAAAATCCGCCTTGTCCTTGTTGTATGAATGATTAACTATTATATACGGTATACCGCCTAGGCTATATAACTAGAAAGTCTGGATTCTAGAAGAAGAGCTGATGCTGAGGTATGTGTAGAGTATCTGTAGCTGAAGTCTAAAGTCTGAAGATGTACTTATAGGTAGGGAGACTTCCGGCTTTAGTCATAAGAATCTGGGTCCGCTTTTCGTTATAAAACATCTTAAGCTTCATAGTCCGGTCTAGGTTATTTGACGATACGATCGATTCTTTTACCACTTAGATATGTGGTGCAGATAAAGTCTTTCGAAAAGAAGAGACAGGAAAATACGATAGGTCAATGTTTTACGAACAGATCCCTAAATATTTCACTTAACAGACATATGCCGGATTCCACTTCGTGGTGCACTCTTGAATATCACTTAAGCCTGCTAAGTATGGACTGTTGTCTGCGATGGATTGCAGTATAATGACAGCACATAAGAAAACACCCCTTTGGCTAGCGGTAATCAACAATTCTTCAATATAGAAATATTTGTCTTCAAGAAACTTGAAAATGTGCATCAAAACTGTGGCGATTTCGTCACACAGTAGGTCATTCAAGGCGGCCGCCATACATATTTCCTAGCTCTGGGGGACGTGGGATGTATCCAGAGGTAAGAACTCCCTCGTCTGGATGTCATGAAGTGTTTCACGCCAGAGCTCAGGGGTGACTTCAGGGCCTCCAAGGGTAAATGCATCGTACTGGTATTCCATAAAAACGCTCTGGCGAACTGACAGAGCAAATTCTAGGCGAGACCCTGCGGAAATATCTGAAGCGTTCTCGCATTCCATCAGTCATCTTTGCTTCGAACCTTTGGTTTAAGCGTCTGTCGCTTCTAGTTGGTGAGTCTTCAGGCCGTTCGGCGGCTATAATTGCAAGTATCTTGTCCCGGCTGATGAGTTTCCAAAGAAATGAGAAGATAGCACGCTTCTACTTACTATCAGGAATATATGTGTACATCTCGTAACACTTCTGTTTGTTATAGTGATTTAACGGTAGGACGCATTCCCGAGATGTATATAGTGTTTGCAGGCGAATTTGGAGAACGAATGATAGACCGCTGTATATTTGCTCCTGGTCTTGAGCACATGTGCCTATGAAGGAATATGCGAACTAGAATGCGAGTCCTCAGACCGGGGCTCTGGGCAAGGTCCCAAAATACATCCGCATCGTGTGGAATTCCAGGTCCGCAAGGTACATAATCAACTCTCCAAGAGCTACTCTTGCTTGAGGTAGCTGGAAACGATCATGGTAATGGATCTCGAGTTGTGTTTGGTCGATCGGTGTCCTTACCCATTCAAGACAGTTCCATAAGGCACCGTGTTTGCCTCCATCCGATACCACGTAACGCCAGTAATGATCATGTTTACGAGGATACACTGATAGTTGATATGCTGGAACACTTGCTTTCACAACACCAGACAAAAGCCGGCTGTAAACTGACGCTTCTACCTCGTAACTTGCAAGTATGCGTCTTAATCGGAATCCAGTGTAAGCAGTACTCAGATAAGTATATAAGATTGGTGTAACAACTAATGAACTTTTATGAACTTGCTTCGGAATCATAGATATAGAGAAAACATACCCAGAATAACGAGAGGCACGCCGACATAGGTGATGATGTCTGTTACAGAAACCATAGTGGAACTTAGATAATGAGCCTAACATTTGATTTAAGACGCTACCGACCGGCAGAATCGACCCAAGAGGCTTTACACTTGAAAAGGAAGAACGGACAAAGAGCAACTGCGTGTGTATATATAGGGCGAAGGCGTGCAAGGCGGCCGGATGGTAGACATGCGCGACACAAGTTAGGCTGAGTGCAGGTCTGGATTTATTGGCTTAGATAGAATACTTCTGCTGATTTGAATGCACTGGGACAAAATGAAAGATTAGGTTAACAATCCTCAGGGAAAACGCGTTCTTACTTATGAATCGGTCCAAGTAATAAATCTCACAGTTCTCTGGGCTTCTACAGAAGGTAAATGTAACCTTTGCGGAACTCATACCACTTTGAGGACAAATTGTTTCCCTTTGGATGAGCTTTAAACAACGCCCCAGATGCTGCCATCATCCAACGAGAGACAGCTCTTAATCCATTCCATCCCAGTTCGTTCGTGAGTGCCCTTGTAAGAAACCTAATTTGTAACGCCTCATCAAATGCAGGTACCATAAGTCCATTAATTCCTGTGTATCATATCGAGCTACGCTTTCAAAGCCGTATGTATACATCGACGCATGGAAGCCTCCATTCTCTGCGCCCCAAAAAACTTCGTAGCCATTCTACCCCAATACCAGTCCACGCCGTCCGCGCAACCCGTCGTTTCGCCTCCTCAAGCGCGGTACCTGCCAAAGCAGCAGCGGTATTGTTCAGAGCCCCAGCATATATCGCGACCTGATCTAATGTTTGGTTCGATAAGGCTGCGGAGGCGTTGACGAGCTCGGGGGATAGCGTCCCAGGCTGTTGCCTTGGCTCAAACCAGTTGCTGCTGAAGTCGAAGAAACAGTGATCTGACCAGTGGCAGGAGGATGCGAAGAGTATTAGGAGGAGGAACGAGCAGTAGACGCATGGTCGGTTTAGGAAGTAGGTGCAGATGAAGAAGGAGAAGATAAAGATGGGCGAAGCGTTGGTCGGGATGAAGAGGAGGGGCAGCCAACTAAGAAAAGGAGACTGGTCAGCTACATTATGCGCATAAAGACTGTGACTATGGCAAACATACCTCCTTAAACAGAACATGTTGTCTGTTTTCCCAGAGACAAGAGAGAGACTTGTGATTGTAAATTAGGCCCAGACCACATACATCCGGGGCAAAGAGCAAAGCAAGGCTTTGAAGTGACACGGTTGAACGACGTATGCGGGACTGGTGGTTGGCTTGACTATGAATGCTTCAAAGAGGTCGTACGCTTGCCAGTGTGACGCCAACTCTTGTGATTGAAAGAAGTGAAGCGATTCGTGATGCGAAGTTGTGAAATACCTTGACGTACAACTGTTGATTCCGAATGTCAGAGGGTGTTCAGCCAATTAGGAGGTCATATTCACCGCTGGCCGAAGAAAGTCCAAGCTCCACTCCACTCCTCACGATCTCAAAGCTCTCGCCTCTTTTCCTCCATCTCCATTTCTACCTTTTAACCTCAACCTCCATCTTCTCCTCTTCACTTCCCCCCTCCCTTCTTTCTCGTATCAACTCTTACGGCATCTCTTTGCTTTTTGGGCAAGAGCTGTCGCAACAGTATTTACCATCTCGATACCCACGTCCCACACGTTCACACGTTCAATTTTGAGCAATCTACATCTTCCATCTGCGCCTTGAGCGCTTGAATTCTACTTCTCACCATGTCTGGATATCCTGGCAGCGGAGGAGAGGGCAATGGATTGGATTCCCTTTTTGCTCAGCTTCGCCAGCAGCAGACCAAGCAGCCCAATTTAGAGCCTAGCTACAGCTATTATAACAACAACTCCAATGCCTTCTATGGTCAGCCATCCCAGCCTCAACAGCCTCATGCTTATCAACAACCTTCGGTTTCGTCGCCTCTCCCGACGCCCCCAATTGGCGCACAGTCACAACCTCACCATAGCTCTGCCATCTTGAGCCCCGTCGAGACTCCTGTCCAGCGCGTTCCTGCTGCTTCTGGCGGCGCATCCAATGCTGATCGAACTTCAAATTTGCTCAATCTATTGAAGTTCAGCCAACCATCATCTGCGGGTTCGCACAATCAAACTGCTCCAATCGGCACACCATTGCCTCCGTCGCGTGAACCCTCTTTCGGTAGTAGATCGAACTTCGGTGTCCCTGATGTTCAAGGTCAGGTCAGCGCTTCAAACCATGGCCATGGAGGCTCCGATCTGTTGGCAGCTTTAATGGGATCTCAGCAAGCCAAGCCTGCGCAACAGCCAGTTTCTAGCTTTGCGACAGTACCACAAACGTCTCAGTCTACGTTCGGCGCTGCGCCAGCATCTCCATCGGCGGATACCCAAGCCTATCTCCTTCAACTCTTGAATCAACCCAAACCCCCTCAGTCGGATAACACTCCTCAGTTGAAGCCGGTAAAGGTTTTGACACCTCCAAGCAAGGGTAGCTCTGAAGGCGATGTCCGAGACCTTACTCAAACTTTACAGGATGTCTCTCTTGATATGAGTATGACGGGCTCAGCCGCGACTGAGTCTGTCCCTTCACATGCCAAAGAAAATGCACGACAACCTACCCCCAAGAGTGGCCCAGGCCTTTTCACATATGTCAATCCTTTCGAGCAATTGGCAGCATCATCTCCGCGCATCCGCACCCCAAAGTCCTCCAATCCTGGTCTTGGTGCTACGAGCGCCCCAATTCCTGCCATGCAAATCCTGAAGCACCCTCGCCACGAATCTCCCGAGAACACGCGCAGAGTCGATGAGAGAAGTGGTATCTCAAGTCCAGCAGACGCAAAGCGAAAGCTTGAAACGTCGTCACAACAGTCATCGGCGCCACCTACACCTCTTCCAGACGGTCGCACACCACTTGAGGCTCTGATCGGAATCGGTGCAGCAGGAAACAAGGAGACCGTTCAAGATGCCCTCAGTGGTGTTGGCAATCAAGTCGATAAAGAGGTTCAGGAAGCCATTGCTCGTGCTGAGCGTGACGAAAGTCAAGCTGCCATTGAGCAAGACCTAAGTGACATGCTTGATGCTACGACTGAGAGGGAGTTTGAAGACGCCGCTCAGGACGCAGCCAAGCTTATCCATAAAGAACTCAAAAAGCAAGAAAATGAGGGTGCACTCGATTCGCTACCTACCCCTATTGCCGAAGAGGTCAGAGATATTATTGGCGACGCCGCTCATGGTCATATCGTAGACAGCTGGGAGAGCGCTGATGCCGAAGATAGTCCTATCAAGGAAGAGGAACAGAACATTGTAAAGGTCTATAACTTCCCAATGAAGCCATGGATTTCCATCACCATCAAATCCACAGAGGAGACCCGCCCTATCTTCCCAGAAGACAGTGTCATGGATATCGCCCGTCTGAAAAAGGAATTTGATCAGATTGATCGTACTCTTTGCACCGCTTCACCCAACTTCATCGTCTACGGCATGTCCAAGAACGGAGGAGTTCGCATAATCAGACAGACTGATGGGAAAGACGCCAGAATCTTCACCGAGACTCATGATCGTATTTTTAGTGTTGTCACGTCTTCGGCTTCAGCTGATCAGAAAGAGTCTATCATCAGCACTGGCATCAGCGGCACGGTCTACTGGACTATGATCAAGGATGGAGAAGGCGATCATCTCGACGATCCCAACCCGGAAATGTATGGTTTCGCCCTCCCTCCAATCACGACTCAAGACACCGAATCACCTGGTGGTTTGTTGAAGACAAGAGCAAGGAAGAGTGCAGCCCATCCCGATTTCTTTGCCGTTGGCCGTGGGAAATATATTCACATCATTTGGCCATCTGTCATCTTGAAGAAGTCTTACCTGAAAAATGGGAAGAACCGCACAGTTGACATTGAGAAATATCTCGGACAACTTTCTCTGAAGATCAACACTGGCAAAGCAGGGAAAGATTTCACATTCAGTGAAGATGACACCATGATTGTTTCGCTAGACAAGGCAGGACGGGTCAAATTTTGGGATGTTCGCAGTCTTACTAGCCTTGATATCCTTTCAAACCCATCTCAATCGGCTCATGTTGAGGTCAAGGAGCCCGTCACTACTTTCACCACTACTTCCCCAAACGAGAAGGCTTGGCCAACATCTCTCCTATTCGTTGATAAACTTCGACCATATCAGCGTGGAGGTGCGTTGAGATATGTGATTGTTGGCATGAAGCAAAACCACACTCTTCAGTTGTGGGATCTTGCTCTTGGAAAACCTGTCCAGGAGATCCATTTGCCACATTCTAAAGAGTCGGATGCTGTCTGCAGTGTTGTCTATCACGCTGCTACAGGAATGATTGTTGTTGGTCATCCCACTCGCAATTCAATATATTTCCTTCACCTCTCGGCACCGAAATACAATTTACCAAGGGGAGTTACGCAAGCTGAGTATATGGAGAGACTCAATGCCGATGATCCTACAGTTCCAAAGCCTGATTCCACGGCCGTCATTAGTGGCATGCGTGAGTACTCTTTTGCTGACAAGGGCAACCTCCGGAGCCTCGATATCTTGCAGAGCCCGACCACTCCTCCTATTGACGGTGAGCCTGTGACATTGTTTGAGCTTTATGCAATGCATTCAAAGGGTGTCACTTGCCTGCTCATCAAGCAAGCTGATCTTGGATGGACTTCGGACAGCAAAGTTCTCCACCCGGTCATCGCTGACAAAGCTGGTGTGATTTCCATCGAGGTACTCAAGGATATCCCAACTACCTTAGTACCAGAAGTTAGTGAGCCTGTTCCAGCTCAAACACCTCTTCCGACACGGATCGTTCCCCGTCCAGCGCCGAAGGAATCTGCAAAGGAGACTCCTAAGAAGCCAAGCCATGCGGAGGCATCGTCATCGAAAGTTGAAGATAAGGCTGAGAAGAAGGAGTCTGCAACCTTTAATGGCGGATCGGCACAACCGAGCGTACCCGAGAAGTCGGAGAAGAAGAAGAGAAGAAAGGCAGGAAGTTCGTCAGAAACCACCACGCCAGGACCCAGTACCACTCAATCTGCTCAATCGTCCAAGACTATTGTTCTCGACCCTTCTTCTCATTCCAGGAATGGAATGGCTCCCAAGTCAATTGCCATTGCCAATGCTGCTGCAAATGCCCTTAATGAACCTGGTGCTGTAGGATCTCAAAACCTTAGTGATGGTGCTATCAAAGGCATTGAAACCCGTATCACTGCCGAGGTCAAGAAAGGATTGGGTACCTCATTCGACTCCTTGTACCAAACCATTGCGGATGATCGACGAACTCAGGCTGCAGTTTCCGACGCTAAGCAGGATGCTATGCTCCGACTCGTCTCGAGTACACTTTCGGAGAACATCGAAGCAACTCTGGGTCGCATCATTTCCTCCAGCATTCAAACGTCCGTGCTTCCAGCCATCTCCGATGTCACTGTGAAGGCCGTTAATGAGCAAGTCGGTACAAAGCTGAACTCTCATCTTACCCAATTACTGCCTAAGGAGCTCAAAAAGAACCTTCCTGATGCTGTTGGACGAGCTCTGCAACAACCCCAGCTCTTGAAATTGATGTCCGACTCTCTTGCGAAGAGTGTATCCTTCCAAGTTGAGGAACAATTTGCTGTACTCCTCCAGGATGTTGTCACTCCCGCTTTCACGAACTTGGCTATTGCAACATCCCAGAAGGTTGCCAATGATGTTCAACAACAGGCCGCTCAGCAGATCGACACCATTCAGCGCGAACGCCAGGCTGACAATGCTAAGATTGGTCAATTGACACAACTTGTTACTAGTTTGACAGAGACAATTTCTTCTATGGCTTCTGCTCAGACTGAGTTCCAAGGCCAGTTTTTGAGACTTCAAAATCAGGCAGCCGCTGATAGGCAGCGAGCTCGCCAGGCGGAAGAGTCCCGTGATTCTGTCTCGAATCCGTCAAATATGGGCGGCAATTCAAGCAGTGCACTTGTCCGACCAGTTGTTGAGAAGACGCCAGAGGAGTTGGAGTATGAAGAGATGTATGAGAGCATTAAGGGTGCTATGGATGCCGGTCAGTACGAAAGCGCCGTTATCCAGTGGTTGCAAACCCGTCGAGAGCAGGAATTCTTCGCGAATTACTTTGCTGGTTTCAATCCAGCATTCATTCGCCACCTGACTCCATTATTGCTACTCTCATTGGGCGCCACGATCAGCATTGAGATGAACGATGCATTCCTTGAGCAACGCATAGGATGGTTGGAGATGGTCTTGACATCCTTCTATGAGCAGTCAAACAATCTTGTAAGTTTTCTATATTCCAATAACTCTCAACTTCTACTAACTCATTGCCAGGAGAACCAAGTTCGCGAGCTCATTCCAAAGATCATGGGTATCTATATCCAACGCCTAGAACATCTGTTCATGCGCATCAGTAATCTCTCGGCTCACGATCCCGTCTTGAAGAGACTCTCCACCATGGTGGCCTTGGCAAATCGCATCAACGGCGAACAGGGTCGAGACCCAAATGCCCCAAACGCCATGCCTAGCCCCGCAGCTTCTATGATGGGCCATTCTCGCCAATTCTCTTGAAGGCCATTCTCTCATAGGATGTCCTTCACCTTGGCATACTTGCTATCCAGTAAGAAACAGCTCCATCTGGCTGCCTTTTGTTTATGAAGAATTTACTCAACCTTTTGAGTGGATTCGTCATGCAATTGATTGGACTCAACCCGGTTTTTGAAATTAGCTTTTGAGACGCTGGAATGCTCTCATCCTGGCTATCAAGACCACTGATGTTTCCCCAGAAAATTACGTAGCGTGCTAGAATTTTTTTTTTTTTTTTTCAAATTCTTCTTCTTTTTCTATTACGACATGGAGAAATGCTGTGTCCTCTCATCTGTTCTCTTATTGCTGGCGTTTGAGCTGAGCCTTAAAATATGGGAAAGGCGCGTTTTTGATTCGGATTACTTACACTGCTGAACATTTTATGAAGGGCAGGGCATAATGAGGAGTGGCCACTTCTAGATGGAACGAACGAACGAAACAAAAGCATGTATTAAGGAGAGAGGGAGGCATATGCATATGGTGACGATGATGATGATTCGTTCTATCTTGCGCTGAAGGGATGTCTCTTCGGAAAGAAAGGGAGGCAAGATCATGTATCAGATAGATAATTGAAAAGGCAATACATATGTGCTGCATAACTCAATTATAAATGGAATAGTCTTTCTTGTGTGAACCTGAACTTGAACGCCTGAGGGAAAGGCCCATTGCTTGGTACAGAGTATAGAGAGTTATCCATTGTTCACGGTGGCTCAATCTCCATATGAAGGCACTTTAGCACGGGGACTCTCATCAGACAGCGCGTGCCTAATAAGTTACAGCCACCGTTCCACACCACACCACACTAATGATTCGTTTACCCTATTGCCTCTTTGCTTTACAGGGTTGAAGGTCCCCTCCTAATTAACGCTTTCTAATTCACAGCTCACTCTATCGCCAACGTGTCTTGCTTCTTTGGAAATAATAAACAAATTCATCCGTATTAACGATTTGATTTGGATTTGGGTTGACGTCGTGTTCGTGTTCGTTCGGCTCCTCGGTCTAGAGTCTATAGAGAGCATTGGATTTCACGGTCATCACTTCTCGAGTACAAGGGAGAGATATATATCAAAGTGAAAGAGAGTAAATCACCACAGGTGTTGTTTGTTGTTACTCCATGAAAGGTACGTGGGTGTAGATAGAAACATATACAGGAAGAAGGTAATTTATATACAGAAGTGAAAATTGACATGGCTGGGCTGGCCAATCATAAACCATGATGTTGCTTTCCTTCGTATCGCTACCGCCCGCCCGCCCGCCTGCGCGCCCCGCAGAAGCAGAAGCAGAAGCAGAAGTAGACAGAAGTCTTTTGCTCTCATCTGCCCATCAATCCATCCAACCAACTCAAGCCTGCCAGACATCCCTCACCATAGCAGCAGCAGCGCACCCAACAGGCACCGTATAACTCCTATTCGGATCCGCCTCCCACGCCACGCTCCCCCCGCTCCCCACCTTGATGAACTTATACAGCACCGCCGTCCCTGGCGCCATGCTCACGGTGACGGACCACTGAGGGTTACTGGCTGTGTAGTTTGCTGCGGAGAGCGCGAGGGCGTTGGCTGGAGCCCAGCTGCCGAGTGCGGTGGTATTGCCGGCGAGCTTGATGGTCTCACCGTATGCGGTCGACTCGAGTGCATTGAATGTGACGGCGACGGAGGTTGCTGTTGTGCAGGATGCTGATGTCGAACTCGCTACTGATGATGTTGTTAGGCCTGGATGTCCAGTGTTAGTCTTTATTGTCTGATTGACAAAAGTAATTAGGGTTCGGGATGATATTTCTGGCTCTAATGTCTCAGAATACCTGGGATATTGAAAAGAACATCAATATCCCTTGATATACCCAACAATGAAAATTTCGAGGATGTTGCATACTAGAACTCGCGGATTTGGAAGTCTTCGTCGACGTGGCTGTGGCTGACGAGGTGTCTGTGGTCGATGGGGCAGTTGTAGTTGCTGAGGCCGAGGCTGATGTGCTGGATTTAGAGCCTGGATTCATCAGTGCTAGCTCAGCGACAATATATGGTGGGCTTACCTGTGATAGAAGAGCAGATACCGCTTCCTGTCAGTAGAGACTTTGGAAAGTAGACGCCTGGTAGTCCGCTGGTCAACGTCACAGCAAGATTTCCGCTGGAGTCTGTTGTGACAGCTGTGCAGCTCATGACTTCGATTAAAGCCTGGCTAGAGTTGAAGCCGGTTTCGGTAGACGACAGTGTGAAACTAGAGCTACCGCTAGCACCTGTGTTGGTGAAGGCGCTGATCATTTGAAAACCGGTGTTTCCTTTTCGCATCACAATGTTGGAGGAATCGGAGTAGATTGGGTTTGCTTTATACGTGACGTAGGTTGGGTCCAGGTTGATTGCTTCGTTTCTGATTTGGTTGAGGGATGCGATCCATGTATAGAATGTGGAGTCAGTAGGATATCCTGAGAGCCAGACGGCTTCACGGCTGGATGGGTCTCCTGTTCCAGAGAAATGCTGCTCCTGGCCTTCATAAACAATTGGGATTCCGTCTGTAAGTATTGTAAAAGCAATTGCGTTCTTAGTCAAAGAGATGTCAGAAGTGTAGGACGGGAAGCGTGCGACATCATGATTCTCCAGGAATGATCCGAGGAGATTTGTATCAGAGCATTCTGACTTCATGGTATTGATGCCGTTCTCAAGGTTGCTCATACTGCCGCTAGTGCTTTCGAATGCTTGAGTAATCCAATAGTAGCTATGATTCTATTAGAGAGAGAAAGGAGTTTGGCCAGTATTTTCCGACTCACGCGGGGTAATTCAATAAACCGCTCAGGGAGTCCTGTAATGGGCAAACAGTAGAAGGGTCCCCATTGAAGGCTTCCCCCACAATATAGACACCAGCTGTGAATGGTCAGTGTATGTCATCATCTTGTTGTCAATCACGGCAGACTTACCTGCAGCCTCAAAAGGAGAGAAGAAGTCCACATCCACCTCCAGGGCACTATCCAACCTCAAACCATCAATGCTATACTTGGTCACAATTCCGCCAATCCAAGTATTCCACGTAGCCAACACACCAGAATCCTCGGTTCTGAGATCCGGCAGAGAAACAGTGTCATCTCCCTCCCAACAGACCTTTTCACTCGTGGCATTGTTGTAATCGATGGCGCAGGGGGTGTGATAATCAGATTGCTTCTTTTTGTCAGCTAATTTATTGTTATCATACAGACAGGCACAGCCTTACCAAGTTAAAAGGATCAAAGATGCTGTAATCGACACAATCGCGGCACCCATTATAACCCCTTATCATGGGATCAGTATTGTATCCCGTAGAGAGCAAGAGCTAGGAAGATGAAACGAGCCGCAACACGGTAAAATCAGAGGGGAATGAATAAAAGGGATAATCACATGTGATTTGTAACGACATCGACCATAAGGTACATGCCTTTACCATGGAGTGCCGTAGATAGAGCAAGCAAATCGCTTTCGGTCCCGAAGTTAGTGTTTAACTCTGTGATATTCTGAGCCCAATATCCATGATAAGCGCCATCCGCTTGCAGATTTTCCACAATGGGCGATATCCAGATCTATTGTCCGTTCGTCAGTAAAGCAAATATCCAAGGACGGGGCCAGGCCATGCCGGAGACTTACCGCAGTAAAACCCATGTCCTGGATATAATCCAGCTTGTTGATAATGCCTTGCCATGAACCCCCACAATACTTGTCAGCGGACGTATCACAAGCGGCAGTGGTCGAGCCATCAGTGCGAGCAAACCGATCCGTCATGACTTGATAGATAGATTGCTTCTTCCAGTCGGCGGGTGAGAGAGCCGAGACGGTACATGTGAAGGAGGCGAGAGCCGCCAGGGATAAAGTTGAGAATCTCATGATGAGCTCTCGAGAATGTAAACCTCGAAACCGGAAAGACTATACGGTACGTTTTGTATTCAGAAATGGAGGCAAGGTGCAGCAACTGGGCCGACCTGAAGGAAGGATTCAAAAGAGTGTAAAGAAAGGATGCAAAAGAACAGCAAGCAACATCAAAGCATCCTCGACGACATGAAAATATATATACTCGTAAATATCAAAAGATAAAAATACGCGACAGAGAGATCGGGGTAAGTAGCAGGACAGGACTCGGCGAAAATATGAAGTCAAGAAAGTAGCGCCGCGGGATAAGTCTGTCTTAAGACCAAGCCAAATGAAGGATGAGGCTTGCGGAGGTCTGCTGGGGCTGGGTCTGGATGAAACAAAAAGTCCACGGTGCGTTTAGCTGATTGGACGCCTTTGAATCCGTCACCAGTTATGTGGGGCAAGGAAGAAGCCTCTCAATAGTGAAATATACGATAATTATCAAGTGAAGACCTGCTTTCTTTTCTAGTGGACGCGTTACCTCTAAATATTGTCTCTCTCTCCACCTGATCATTAGCCGAACTTTAACATGCGCTGCGCTCTAAATGCACTTGATTTAACATTCGCATTCATTGTCGCGTTGGTTTACTTAACAGTGCATACTGGATTTCAATTACTTCATACCATCCCATCTACGTTTTACGAAACATAAGCATAGCCGCATGTGTGGCACATGCGGCTAGTATAAATTCAGGGGCTCCCGCTTCCTTTAATGGGACCTTGCGCCCGAGGCAGCGACAACACGTCTTATGCAAATCTCCAATCTCTCAGATCAACTAATAAAAATGCCTTTCTTCTCCAGACACATTTCGAAGAAGCTTTTGTTTTCGGCCAGCTGATCGCGGGGTGCATGCAGGATACAGTGCATCCGGAGAACGTAAAGTAAGTAAGTTAAGTTAGTTAGTTAGCTGCAGCGATTCGGTCCTTCAGCTCAGCGCATGCAAATGCAATTATTACCTATAGGTCTCGGAGTAAGGTAAGCTACTTTTTCGAGGCTTCCACCA